ATCACTTAAAACATTTTACAATTCACCTGTCTATATTCATTTTCTTCTCTAAAATGGGGGCTTAGAAAGGGGAAAATGACTCATCCTTTTTTATATCTTTAGTTTGTGATCCAAAGTAAGCCCTCAATAGATTTTCAATAATTGAAAAAATAAATAAATGAATAATTGTCATTGTAATGACTCAATAAATACCTACTGAATACAAAATATGCATATGTTATACTTAGTATTTAACAATTGATCAATACCTAATGTGAGTAAAAAGGAAAACCTATTTTTGAGTATATCTTTTATATATCACATCTAAAGGATGAAAGAAGTTATCTTTCAACTTACATAAAGTATTTAACATAAGCTAACCTTTTAAGATAAGAGTGAATATTACTCAAATTATTATTTCAATGTAGCTAAAACACTTCTACTTCCCTTTTCTTTCAGTGTTCTCAGAGTATACAATAGTCTTAGTACGATTATTAAACCTTAGTGAGTAAAAAAAATCACTAAAAATTAAATACATACACTAACAAGGATAAGAAATATCTGCTAAGATTTTAGAAGGCAATTGTGCTAAACCTATGTGCTCAAAGCTTAAAGACACATCCTTAATGATGAAAGAACCTAGAATTAAGGGAAGAACTTCAGGAGGAAGAGATGGCACAGGTGTGTTGAGTTGAATTTTGACTGTAGAATGTAAATGGAAAATGATATTTCCAAATGAATGAAACAGCATGAGCAAACACCAAATATAAAGAATGTGTAGATTGTGGAGAGGTGTCTGACTAAAGTAGATGGGCAATGAGGAGGACTGAACGGATAAGTAGAAGGAGGCATTGGATAGTAGGAAAGTACTCTGGTTTGGTAAGTGGGCCAGCACAAACTTTGAGGGATTAGATTATGTTGAGCTTTTACAGAAATACTACAACTATGAGTAGAGATTGACTCCCCTCCATCTTGAGAAAGATTAGATCAGTCTTGACTAGCACAGTGGTTCTCATAGTAACCTTTCTCTTCATTACATTAGCATCTTTTGAGTTCCTGCTGTCTAAGCATTTTCATGTATTATCATATTTGATCTTTATAACAACCCTGGGAAATGGGTATTCTCAACCGTTAAAAAGGAGGAAAAATGTGGCTAAAGAAATTAAGTAACTTGCTTATGATAATCTAATTTGGGTTATGACTTCATAATACCAAGTTTGTGACTTCATAACCCATGCTCTAACTCCTTCAGTTTGCCTATTATGTTTCTGTCAGCATTTTCAGGATCTTCAGTGTTCAATAGATGTGTTCTGAATAATAGATTTAAATGATTACCACTTCTGACTTGAATCTTCTATTTCTGCTAATGAAACATGTTATACTTACACATTTACCTTTCTAGTCAGCAGAAGATGTGTTGGCTCCCATAAAAAATCATGTATCACCAGAACCTGGGATTCATCCACCTGGCCTTTCAACAATTTACATCTTCCCACATTGATTACTCATAATTTTTTGAACCTGGACATAGAATCTGACATTGAAATGGTATCTTTGGTTTTAGTGTACCTTTTATTTATTTTATTTTATTTTATTTTATTTTATTTTATTTTATTTTTTGGAGAGGTTTTTGCTATAGGGCATGTGCGCTTGCCAGAAAGACAGAGGGAGAGACAGAGAGATAGAAAGTGAGAAATCACCCCCCAGTGGGGATGGCCAAGCCACAATCCCTTCTCCTCCATTCTCCTCTTGGGATCTTGGGCACACATGCACACGCACCTGGCATGAGTTTAAGCCACCAGGTCCAGGACTTGAACCGCGGTCGACTACATGGGAGTCCAGCGACATAGCCATTACGCTAACTGCTGGTCCCTGTACCTTTTCAGCCTAGAGAAATCTATTTGAATGTTGATTTTGTGCACTAACAAGTAAGCCATCTACAGGGGATAAGCAGGTGACATAATCACACATGTCTTTTAAGGTGTAGATCCTCAGAACAAAAAATTGGTTATATTAGAAGAACTCAGACACCATCTATCTAAATCCCCCAGAGAGCAATAATATAGTCTTTTGAGGTGGGCTTGGAAGACTCTTTTCCTCCTAGGAAGATTATTTTAGAGAAACTATACCCTTCCAGGAAGCTCTCCCAGATCAAGGCTAAAAAGGAAATACTAAGACCTCCAAGTAAAGACAATGCTTGGAAGGGAGCATCAGTGAAGAAAACAGAACTCCTCCCTCTGAGAAAATTCCCAAAGGTGTCTCTGATCCCAGCCTCTAAACCTCCACCCACTATTAACTAGACTAGACTCTGGCCTAGCCTGCTAAGAGCAGCTGTAATAAGGAGGTCCAATCTGGGACTACTTCCTTGGCCTTTAAATTGTATTTCCTCTGTCATCCCAGACAAGATGTCTGCAATCCCTGAATCTGGTTATTTAAAACTAGATATGAAACAGAAAAGAGGTATAAAGGCATGCAACTAGAGATAGAGCATTGGATCAATGTTGATCATGCAGGACATACCACGATAAATCAGAAAGTGATTTTTTATTTTTCCATATACACAACTCTTTAGAGAGTAGCCTGATTTGGTGAGGATCAGGAAGTAGGGAAAAGCTAGTGTGTTTATTAGAACTTGTCTGGGGACCAGCAGTTAGCATAATGGCTATGTCACTGGACTTCCATGTAGTTGACCGTGGTTTGCGTCCCGGACACAGTGGCTTAAAACTCATGCGGGGCGCGTGTGC